CAATAGTCAATCCATAAATGTTTATTTATGTAATAATTATATATATGTATATTAATTATAGAAACTAAATTAAAAAATTATGTCAAATTTATAATTTGATTATTAATCACCTGCCTGGACGTTTTTATATAACATGTGCATTATAAGAAAATCCTGTAAGGAAATATTCATTTTGCTTCGTTTCTAATTAAACGCCCCACATGCAGCAAGGCCAGTCGTACGTAGAGACGTGAAGTTTAAGGTCCCCGCAGGGTGGCTGTTCTATTTCTTTTATATATTCTTAATTGTTGAAAAAATCTTATCTTTAGCAATCATATCTTCGATCATCACTTTCAACATTTTTTTATCAATTTTTAATTATTAAATAAAAATTATTACAATTTTCTGTTTTTAAAATATTAAATATTTTAAAAAATACTTGTAAACATACTCTTAAATATTAATTAAAATTTATTAAAATACATAAAAATATAGGTGAAAATCATTATAAGTTAAAAGTTAAATTTACATATTTTTTATTTTCAATAATAATAGGAATATATTTTAAAATGAACTATCCTTTTTTATGTAATATTTTTTATAATTTTATAATAAACCAAAGGCTTATTCAGGATTTCAGGCTATTTCACCGGTTACCCAACCTTTAAGTGACAAGTTAGGGACCCTAGTGAATACTCCTGAATATAGCATTAGTTTTACATTTCTTAGATGTAATAATTAAAAGGAAAAGTGTGGACAGATACTTTTGCCTTTAACAATTCTAAAGAAGAAAAATTCTACGGGAGTCATATTTTTAATTATTAATTGAAAATTATATAAATTTTAGTATTTTTATTTATAATTTAATATTTTTTCTTATACTTTAGTATTTTTGAACAAATTTTAACTAATAACCACAAGTCTATTTAAAAAATGTTATTTAACATTTATCTTCTAAAGAAACTTAAAACCTTCCTAAAATTTTTATACCGAGCAGCATGTTAAGTTGAATTTTTTGCGGTAAAGATATCCCCTTGGCACTAGAGTTATCGTAATGCTATGTCTAACATTTTCAGGAAGCATACAATTGATAACATTTTCAGAAACAAGTCATCGGAGCTCCCAGGTTTGAAAATGATTAAGGCTTCTCATTATCTTTCATCATTTGGTTTTTATTTTTCTAACACATTTTTATTTGTAATTCTATATATACCATTTATGTCTTGTCTATTCAACAGTGACATCTATATAATAAATAATATATGATTATCCTTTGCAATTGACAGATAATGTGATAAAGTCATGTGAATGGCTGCTTTTTTTTAAATAGTTTTTCTGTTTTTTTATTTATATCTTGGAATTAATATAAACTTTTATTTATAATTTTTAACAAGTTATTATGATATTTTAATCGATATATATATATATATATATAATGAATTATTTATATATTCCCTCTTTTTAAAGAGGATTCTAATTGATATCTCATATGATCGATGCTTACTACAAAGTTATCTAGCTCTATGTTTATCTTATAAAGATTATATATATAGTACCCATGTGAACAACGAGCCATATAATTATAATATTATTATAAGTTCCACGCATTGGAATCCTGACCCGTCAGAGTCTATAGTCTCTATCTACTTTGTTGTATAACATTTCACGAATATTAATAACTTCGTCGTGTATTTAGTTATCTCTACATTTACAGATAGCTTAGCTCCTTTATATATATATATATATATAGACATGCTGACTTTTATTTGAAATTTTCTATTTAATTATTTAAAAGTTAAAGACAATATATATTATTATTAATTATTTCTTAATATAACCTTACTTTTATTTACTTTTAAATTACTAAGCACCATTCTTGTATTTTTATTTAATATTCACATGTTTTACATTCTCGTTATATAACGAGAGAGAAATATAAATAATAATAATAATAATAATTTTTTTATAAACATGACATTCATGATTATTTTTTTTCTATAAATGTATAAAATATTTCAGATTTTAAAAAATATTGATGTGATTAAAAATTGTAATTATTATCTTGACATTTAAAATATAAAAATATCAATTTAAAAAATATAAATAAAATATAATAATATATAAAATAATAACAAGTATTATGTACAAATAATTTTTAAATAATAAAAATAAACATTTAAAAAAATAAATATTATTAGCTTTAGTTGTTAAAATTAATATTATAGTGTATTAAATTGAACCAATTAAAGAAATACAGATTTTAAACTAAAAAAGTCCTTAAATATTAAATTTAAATACTAATTTTTAAAAATAATGAATTTTAATATTTTTTTTCTTAATAAGTCATATTTTTTTAATAAAAAGCGCACAGTTTTTCTTCATATATTTCTTAAAAAATATTGCAATTTAAATTATATATACCAATTTAAAGTGTAAAAGTTGACACGTCACACCAAATTAAGAGATTGTGCTCTGAATAGAAAGTTTACGTTCATAGTTTTTATTCTCAAATTTAAAATTTTATTTCTTTAACTTTTATTTTCTAATAAAACAGTATCTTCATTTTTAAAAGCCTTTTTTTTCCAATAGCACGTAATTTTACTTTTATTTATTAATTTTTAAAAATAAAATTAATATTTTATGATTATAACTTTATTTGCATTTAAAATCATTTTTATTAAATTTGATTTTTTAAATTCTTTAAATTTCAAATATCAATTAAATAAATTACTTTTATTAAATATATTTTAATTATATTAATCAAATAGAAAAAAATACTAAAAAAAATTAATTTGAGTTACTATATTTAAACGTGTGACTATTCGAATTAAATTAAATACAAAATTAAATTTAAAAAAAAATAACACAACGACTAAAATTATTAAAGTAAAATATAATTAATAAAAGTATTTTATTTTATTAATATTTAAGTGTTAAAATATTAAAACAAATAAATAAATATAAAATAAAATAGAAAAAGTAAAATATCAATTTGAGAAAAAAAATAGAAAATAAAAATAACATCTCTCATTTTAAATATTTTTTAGGTGTAAAAATACCATGTAATGTGTAGGAAAGATTAATTTTCAAGGATATTTCCAATCAAATAGTGTGTCCGTATTTTAAACGTGAACTAATTATTGACTCCACTGATCACGACATCAACCTTATATTCAGTAAGTCATCACGACACGAAAAAAGTTTGTAAACAGTTAAAAATAAAATTTTATTAAAAAAATATTTATTATATTTTTATATTTTTAATATAATAATTATATATTTTTTATTTATAAATATTTAAATTCAGCTCTTAAAATTAAAGTTAACAAAATCGTAAAACAAAATATTTTGTAAATTAAGTTAAGTGATTGCTATTATATAAGGGAGAAAAATATGATTGATCGGAAATGAAATGGAAGAGAAAGGGATCTCGTCCAAAGTTCACAACTGAAGAAAGATGTAAATTTTAGAGTAAAGAACGATATTTTTTATTTATTTTATTTTATTAAAGATTAATAAATAATAATAATGTGCCTAAACACTCTCTCTCTCCACTTTTATTCTGTCATGGCAGTATCTTCACCAATGTTACGAGGACGTAAGGATGGAAAAGGTGAAAAAAAATAGGGATTAGAATCTTCAATTAATTTGACGTGAGAAATTACGAATAATATTTTAAAAGATTAATTTATAAATAATTTTTTAAATCTTTTAAGTGTAAAATTAAATTTAATAAATTTTAAAAGAGTACTGTACCCTCTTAATAATGAAGGGGTATAAAATATTTTACCATTGAATTATATTAAATGGACTGTACAATTGCATGACAGCTTTTAGTAGTAACGTTATACTTTCACTTTATATATATATATATATATATATATATAATATTTTTGTATTAATATAAGTTTAAAATGTTTTATTTAACTTGTATAATAATAAATAAAATTTTAATCTAATACACCTTCTGATACTAGTGTTGAAAAAATATGTTTCCTACATATATACGAGATAAGTATTAAGTTTTTAAAATATTTTTTTAGTCAAGTAAACGAAAATATCATTATCTTCTCTTAAAATTTTGCAAGAAAATAATTAATAAATAGACTCTAAAACAGAAAATTGTATTGTTTAAGTGCATAAAAATATCCTCTTATTTAATTTTTATAATATATTCTAATTAATAAAAATTATATTTGTTTTTTATGATATTATATTATATGAAAATTATATAATAAATTTAAATAATAACAAAATATAAAACTGTTACCTACTTCCTAATTTGCGGAATCATTTTTATAAGTCTCACACTTATTTATTTATTTTCATTAAAGCATAACTTCTCGTTACTTTGTCTTAAATATTTTTTTTTATATATAAATATATTAAACCAAACACAACCTTATCGCTTTGTTGGTTATGGATGATTTAAGAAGAAAAGTTAAAAGAAAGAAAGAAAATTAGAAAAAAAGTAAGATATATTTATTTTTATTTTTTTCTCATAAATGAATAGAAGGGAAAAAAAAAAGTGTGTCCCGAAGGGGGATGATGACGCCTTTCTTTATAGTTATTTTTATATTAAATAAAATTTTATATAAATATTAAAAAATACTAAATGATTAATAAAAAATTACAGTTAAAAGTTTATTTTATTGAATTAATTTTATTATTATGATAAATTTTTATAGAATATATTTTACTTATCTATTCATTTAAACAAATAAAAAACATTTTTTCTGTTTTCTTTTTTATCTATTTAATTTTTATCAATTTCACACTATTTTTTCTTATTTTTTATTTTTGATATATTTCTATTAATCCAAATAAAGTGTAAAAACAAATAATTGGTTTAGTAATTTTAAGATTATTTTAAGTATAATAAAATATCAGCATGTACCATTTTTAAATAAATACTCAAATGATTGTTTAATTGGGCGGAGAAAAAAATAGAAAAGGGAAAATAAAACATGATAAATGATATAATTGAAAATAAAAATAAGTACATTTTTGTCGGCACTATAGTGTGTAAACTATCAAGTTGGACGTGTATTACTTTGAGTTCTGTGATTGTAAATAGTATTATTATATACACAGATGAATAGCAAAGCACCATATGATATGATATAACAATATATAAGGTGTCCTTTCCCACTTCGGTGAAGAAACTGAAACTCAGATCCCACATTTCAACTCCACCATGGCCACATCAATCTCAAACATAATCGTTGCCTTCCCCAAAACCTTCAGATCCAACAACCCCAAATTATCTCTTTCTCAACTACACAACACTCTAACCTTAACCACAAAGAAACCAAGCCTTCAATGTAAGGCCTCCTTACCCTCCATCCTCGAGACGCAGCAGCAACAGCAACAAGACCAGAAACAAAAAACAATAACAGAGGCATGGCGCAAAATCCACGGTGAAGACAACTGGGCCGGGCTCCTCGACCCCATGGATCCTCTAATGCGGGCGGAACTGACCCGATACGGCGAGATGGCCCAAGCCTGCTACGACTCCTTCGACTTCGACCCGTACTCAAAATACTGCGGCAACTGCAGGTACCCACTATCGGAATTCTTCGAGGCTCTAGACATGACCCACTTGGGATACACCGTCACCCGCTACCTCTACGCGACTGCGAACATAAACCTCCCCAACTTCTTCCGCAAGTCGCGTTGGCCCGACAAGATGTGGAGCAAGCACGCCAACTGGGCTGGATACGTCGCCGTTTCGGACGACGTGACGAGTAAGCGATTGGGTAGAAGAGACATAACAGTCGCGTGGCGAGGGACGGTCACCCACGTGGAGTGGGTCACCGACCTCATGAATTTCCTCAAACCAGTTTCCCCTGACATACCCTGCCCCGACAAAGACGTTAAAGTCGAAGCCGGTTTCTTAGACCTCTACACAGACAGAGAAACCGATTGCGGCTATTGCAAATACTCGGCGAGGGAACAAGTACTCGCCGAGGTGAAGAGGCTGGTGGATTTGTACCCTAACGAGGAAATTAGTATTACTATTACCGGTCACAGCCTTGGGAGTGCGATGGCTATATTGAGCGCGTTTGATATTGTGGAAACGGGGTTGCACGTGGGAAAGGGTGGGCGTAGAGCGCACGTGTCGGTGTTTTCGTTTTCGGGGCCGAGAGTGGGGAACACGAGTTTCAAGGAGAGGTTGGAGGAGAAGCTGGGGATTAAGGTGTTGAGGGTTCATAACACTCACGATCTGGTGCCTCAGTCGCCGGGATTATTCTTCAATGAGAGCTCGCCGGCGTGGGTGTTGAAGTTGTTTGAGTGGTTGCCGTGGTGTTATTTGCACGTTGGGGTTGAGTTGGAGTTGGATCATAAGAAGTCGCCATTTCTGAATCCTAATGGGAATAGTGCCTGCGCCCATAACTTGGAGGCTCACTTGCACTTGCTCGACGGGTGAGTTCATTGACAGTATTTCAGGAATCCTTTAGTAACACGTTCTTCAACGTTGTTTTGTCATTTTCTAGTTTTGGAAGTATCAAAATAGTTTTTTAAAAATAAATTGATTGGGTAAAATATATTTTAAATTTAAATATTATACTACTAACATTTTTTCTCAACATTCAATTCAGCTACTACCATAAATCTTGCACCTGCATCTTTAATATGCATGAGTATGGAACCGTCAAGAAAAGAAAAGTGGGGTAGAGTTACATTACAATTATTGGTACGATGATTGTGGGGGACATGTCATATGTGAAGTTGTATGTTATAGATTAATTTCATGATAGATAGTTATAGTTTAATTGCAAAATGGAAGCTAACCACGTACACTGGTCAAACTAGTGTTAACATGTGCTGACAACTTTTGTGGGTGAAGCGAGTGATTACCAAGTAGTGGAATTTGAACTGTTTATTACGATAATGCATGCAGTTAGAAAATTGATTGCATAATTTGGCTAAATGAACTTGAATGATGCGCATGCAGATACCATGGGAGGGATCGTGGATTTGAACCAGTGACTGGGAGGGACCTTGCTCTTGTGAACAAAGACTCTGACTTTCTGAAAGATGAGCATTCGGTGCCACCTTGCTGGAGGCAAGATATGAACAAAGGCATGATCAAGACTGAAGATGGTCGCTGGGTGCAGGCTGAACGCCCAGAACTTCACGATCACCCTGAAGATATTGATCACTATCTCTCTGATATAGGCTCATTTTCTTCTCGTACTTGAATGGATCATGAGACTATATAAACTTTCCGAGATAATTAGTGATTACTGCATCAACATACCACAATTCCAGACACAATCAATTCAAATGTTAAGAGTGTTATAATAACTTCAACATAAATATCAGTACGTACTTTATTATTATTATTATTGTTATATAATTTAAGCTTTTAATGAGTTGAATTTATGATGATTCTCGGGAGATGTATTTTCTAAAATACTATTTTTTAACACAATTATAGTTATTAATTAAAAACATGAAAAAAAATTAAATTTAAATACGAAAAAATAAATTTCATATAATTTTTATATGTTTCAATAAATTTTAATTGATGATTAAAATATATGTTAATAATTTTTTTCTAATAAAACATAAATATAATATAGACAAAAAGATTGTAATAAAATATTCCTATAATTGTTTCAAATATAAATTATTATTCTTAAACAAAGCTTATTTTTAAATATTTTTTTTAACAACATGCTCAGTAGTTCGTTTCCAGAAAAGAAGATAGCAGCGATTAAATATCATCGAAATGAATACATTTTACAAAATAGATAATAGTAATATATAATGAAGGAAAAATGAAATTTTATTTATTTTCAAGATCTTTAGTTTTAACATAATTTTTTAAAATTATATAAAAATACCCCCCAAAAAAACAATACCCCTAAATTCTTATATTTAGAAACGGAAAAATAGTCCCCAAAATAAATACAACCTTAAAGTATGTACTTGATGATCTAAAAGATTATGTATGCATTGATATGAAAAATATTTTAAAGCAAACACCGTAGAACATTGCTCTTCATGGAGTTTAGTATCGATAGGCAAAAGCTTGCCTAGAGGTGCGTTCTCCAACCTTAGTCTAAGATGTGGTTCTTTATTTTCAAGATATTCTTTCTCTGAAATTTATTAAAAATATTAATTTCAATTTTTAGGATTGAATTTAATCAATTAATAATAATAACATATTATTAAACTCTATAATTTTAATATAATTAATACATTTTTAATAAAAAATTATACTTTTAATTATTTAAACCCTGCTTTTAAGATCGAGATTAAAAACACTAAATTCATAACTGTATTGAAAATTTAGAAGGAATAAATAATCAAAAAGTTATAGTTTAGTCTATTACTTTAGACTTTCTAGTTTCCAGTGTAAGAGAAATTAACAAGGCATAGAAAAGATTATATGTGAATGTGTAAACCTCCATGAACTCTCATTCATATAGATCTAAATATAATTCACCGTCTAAAGTTGCAACTAAATGAACAGGTCCATGGACAAAATAGGTGATAAATAGATTGATCAAAATGATTTTTTAAAATTTATAATGTTAAAAAATGAATTGATATATTAATTTACAACGTGAACCTATAAATTATGCAAACAAATTCGCATAGATCCATAGACACACATATCAAGATTTTGCAAGTTACTTATTAAAATTGCAACCTGTATATTGCATTTCTATGTCAAGTCATTCTTCCACTTGGAGTGATATCATTTTTAACGAATTTCATAAAGATATATTCTCTTTTATCTTAAATATAAATAAAAACATACCACCAAACAAATAGATAAATTAACATAATTGCTTGAATACAGTGTGATATTTATTTCGAGTTCAATAAATACAGTTTCTTAAATATTTAAAAGAAAACTCTGTTATCTATAATAATTTTATCCGGTTCAAACATAATTGTTTTTAATAAAAAATATTTATGGTCTAGAAAAAAAAAAGTTAATCTTATTTAATATTTTTGTTAGTATTAAATAATATTAGTTGATAATTTAAGTTTATAAATTAAATATGAACATGAAAGATAAAAAACAATTATGAAAAGTCAGGATAGAGAACAAAACAAAAATAGTTTTTCATATACAAATAGATCTACAAACTCTTTTGTTGAGGGTTCAAATTAAAATTTAGTTTCATGTACAAGGGAAAAAAATATATTTAAATCAATAATAAATTAAAGATATTATATTATTTTATACTGTCTACTTCTAGCATAGATGGTGAAGAAGTTGAAATCATAGTTGTGAGAGGGGGCACGGCATGGACATTGAAGGTACAGCAACGACTTAGATCAAACGGGGATTTTGGAAAAATGCGTTTGTAGCATTGGCGAGGAGAGCTTCTTTGGGGTCGTCAGCGAGATAGCCAAACTGGCCATTCCTTTTCTCTCTGTGCTTCTTCTCTTTGATTTCATTAGATTATATTGGATTTGTATTCTTTGATATTTTTAATCTAAAATTTAGGACTACCGTGTAACTGTTTATTGAATCTGCCTTATGATTGTCAACAACATTAGACAAAATTATTTATAATCATTATACACTTGTAACTTGTGGTTAGGTTGGAATGCTTAGATAAATATTTTAGTGTTTTGTTAATTTTAGTTCTTACAACTAAAGCTAAACAGTTAATAAAAATAAAATTTTATTAAAAAAAATTATTTATTGTATTTTTATAGTTCTAATGCAATAATTATATATTTTTCTATAAAAAAATTCTATCTGTAAATGTTTAAACTCAGCTCTAAAAGCTGAAGTTAACAAAACTCGTATTTATAAAAGCAATTTGATAGTCAATGAACTCAGTATTAACATTAGTATAGTTGAAAGCTTTTAGCTCTTGTAATACCTAACATCCGATATATATATCCCAAGTTGATTATGCTTTCAGTTATCTTATTCTTTCAGATGCTACAAGCATCCGAACATGATCCTGTTATCGTCTACTTTCAACTGCCAGGGTTAGAATTCAGTACATGTTAGGATAAGTGAAAAATTAAACAACCGAAAGGAGCAAATAAAGAATAAGCGATGCGAAGAAATAAAAAAATTGGCAAGTTTGAAGTTGAATACAAAAGTAGTTTTTTAATACAACAGAGAAGGAGTGAAGTGGCAATTTCTACAGTGCATAAGTTGGGCTTTAGAGGGACAATCCAGACTCTTCATCGTCTTCAAGTGTAGAAGTGTAGACAGTGTAGAGAGCCCATATAAGACCAAAGACACCCAACAGGATCCAACCAAGAAGGTTGTTGCTAAGCCCAAAGGGAAGCCCAGTTCCTTCAGTGCTCATTCTCTCATCCACCAAAGCCATGGCTGGGCTTGACATGGTTGCGGCGCAGATTGCTGCTATCATGGATGCCCCCATCCCAATGTTTGAGCTGTTTTGTTGGACAGAAGGTTTTCCTTCCATCGAGCACCTCACTCTTCCAATCTTAGCCATTGTTGGCAGTCCTATACAGAGTTATGTTTGCAATATATGAATGATGTCAGTTAATTTAAGGCAAATGATGATTCGTCAATATATAAAACAACTATTAGTTTAAACATGTATCTCTTGTTGTAGTAAGTAAAACCTCTCTTTTATTTAAACAAAAAAAAAAGTCTTTTTTGATAGTGAAGATTGAAGCGTCGTTTAGTTTATGAGAACTCTGAAATTGCATATTCTTTTCCGCCCTTTATTTAATAATTGTCTTTTACTATTTAGAAAGGTTGAGAGTTCAGAATATTGTTAGAAAAAGGAAATCAGGAAAAGAGAGAATAGAGTAATGTTCCAGAAGAGAATTCAGGAAAAACTTACCAATAACGGTAGAGGATGGAACCCCAACAGGTCGTTTGTGCACAAGACTTGCGCGGGTGATCGATGATGTTGGGGTGCCAGCGATGATGGTTGCCATTTTTCTTCAGTAAAGATTCAGAGTATGGCTGGCTAACTTCAGTCACGGTTCTAGTTTATTTCATACGCAATGCCAATGGGCAAACAAATCTGTCAAAATTATTATTATTATCAGTGGTACATTGTCAAGCCGGTACACCACATACCACGGATAGGTGGAAAACCCGTCGTTGATTATCCATATCTGCAAAAACCCAATAATTTTTCTCCACGTGTCACATAATCTATTCGGTCTCAGATATTTCACTCAATCGATGTTTCATTGACCTTCTTGGTGTGTGTATGTATTTACTTTAAAAAATCAGTGAATGTGAGAAGTTACAATTGACAACGCTCAAGGAAACGTGGATCTATGGCCAGTAAATGTGAACACATGCACTCACTCTCCAGCCAGTAAGAACGAGGTAGTAAATACTAACAAACTGGTGACACTATCATTGAGGCTCCCATATCGCATTCTTAGCGGATAATTAGGATATTATATCCCGTTTAAAGTCATAGAAGTCAGAAGCAGCAAACATTCCACCAATAATATTTGAATCTCACAGGCTTCAAGATTCATGTAACAGGAAAAACGATCACAAAGGCATAATTGACGTTACAACACAAATGACCGCCGTCATTTCAATAATTACGTAAATTTGTTCCTCAAAAGTAAAATTAAACTTCCAGTTCGCGCGGGAATGAATTATGTACACAACAACCAATATCATCTCCAAGCAGCTAAAATGCCTAAGCGAGTCTTATTTCATCTGAGTTTCAATACAAATTAGCTAAGCTTCTAAAAAAATATATGACGAAAAAATTCTATGGAGCTATGAAGGGCTTTACAAGAAGAATCGCCAAGAACAAGAAAGAATCGACTGAAGCAGGCAATTAATGTGCCAGCAAACTAGTGAAACAAAACCTGCTAGGTAAAGTAATATTTAGATTTTGGGCTACGCCTGGAGATTGCAACGTTGCAAAATAGGGTGGTCAAACTTAATAAATTTGGTCCAATAACTTTTATATCTTCCCATTGCAATATCCAACCACGGCTTCCTAATTCCGTCATAGTGTATAACGGCAGCCCGCTCAATCTTATTTCTATCGACATCTGAGTTGTAACCAAGACCAAGAATGTGCCACCGTCTGTCCAAAACCATAGTCCTGTTATAGAAGGTGATCCAGCCTAAAGGCAGACTTCCAATGTTCCACAATGGCCGTTTGGAACCCTGAAATAATCACCCAGAGAAACACATTAGATTATCATTGCACACATCAGATTATTATTGCATCAGAGTTTAACAGAAAATATATGTGTTCCATCTAACTGCAATTTAAACAAGAACTTAGACACCAAAATTAGAAATATGAAAACTTTGCTTTAAATAACAAATCCATATGTCATGGAGATGTCAAATCTTTGGCCTCCTAATACTCGCCCAAATGCAGGTAAAAATACCATAATAGATCATAAACTACTAGTTTAAGCATTCTTAATAATGCACAATAAAACTGCGCACAATGATTGATACAATCTGATTTCAAAGAAGATGTGCTAACAAATGGTGTTTTAACTACGGTGTATTAATGGCACAAGCAAAAATGGTGTAGGAAAAATTTCTTTGGGGTAGGGTGAGGAGTAAAATAGTCACTCTGAACAAAGAAAAAATAAGCATACAACAAAATAAAGACATTTCTGTAACCATACCATTTGCAAATATTTGTGATAGATTGCAGTTAAATTATGTCTCCTCCACTGCTGTAAATCAAACAAGTTCATCCCGAATGCCCATGTACAAGCATTGACATCAAACCTCTTTGCAATGAATGGATCTGAGAAGTTTATGAACATATCCATCCTGTGAAATGAAGTTTCACCTTCTTGACAAGTCCCAACTGCTGCAATTACTTTTCTGTTCATATTGGCATTCCATAGTCTACTGAGATCTTGTTGCACCACCACATCATGATCAAAAAGCAAAACCTTATTTAGGGTAGGGAAGACATCTGGCAGGTAGAAACGCAGATAGTTCAACTCAGAAGTATATCTTGGATCACTGGAATTATGTTTCTTGAATATATTGTACTTGGACAACCATTCAAAGTTCTCTATGCTTTGTATATGAACTGTAGCTTTGCCAGGAGGGTTTAATAAGAACCACATCCAGATTGCAGGAAAGTTGAGTGAATTGGTCACAACATGGAAAACAATTTTCGTCTGTTCCTGTAATTTAAAATTCATTGTTATGCTTTCTTGCGGCAAGATATATGGGCTTAATTTAATCATTAGCATCATATTCAATAATAAGAACTGTCTCTCACAAAATATCAAAAAGATTAAAATAAAATAAAATAAAAAATCATTAGGTAAAGTTTGCTACACTGATTGATTGATGCCACTATGTTGTACAGAAGTTAAAAAGAATCCTGCGCTTATCAACTCAATATAAAGGGACAGGGTTTGATGTGGGCATATGAGACTGCATTCTCATAGGAAAGAATTACTTTTTGAGGGATCTCGTATATCTTTCCCCTCAGGTATTAGTTACAAGTTAGACACTTCTATGAAGTGTAGAAAGCTGGTAAGGTAGAAATTAGAAAGAGCTCCTCCTTGCTTGAAAATCAAACTTTCTTCATTAGTAAATGATGGATGTGATGTTATTAGAAATATTTTTTGAAAGCAAAATATATAAATTTAGTATTTTAAGAGCAACAGAGTGTTGAATGCTGGAAATGAAGGGAGGTATTTTAAAGGAATTTTGATTCAATGGTGATACTCCATCTGAAATATCATATATCTGCGTGTTTTTACTGGTTTGACTTATTAATTCTCCCATAAATTCTTCAGTGCCAAGAACTACAACTAAGATAACTCTGTCTCGGTAGTCAGGCATACATCAAAAATGGAATTCCAGGTATAAGCAGGATGCAAGGAAGGAATAGAATGAGATCAAGTTGGTGTCAAAATCATGCATTCTTACTAATTCGTCCTATAACCACACTCTCCAATGGCTAAAAGCATAATGAAGTAAATCTTCAAGCATAAAACAATCTTCATGTAGTACACATGTACTGGAATTTATAGTAGACAAGCCGTTTTGACTGATAAGGAGATTTGTGGAGGATCAACTGTCCAAAGTAACCACTATGCATCTAACTTGGAAAGTTATAGCTAAAACTGTTAATATTGAATGTGCTAGTATCAGTGTTCTTTTTCAGCAGTTGCATCAGGGTTTGACATATGCCAAAAGCAAAAGCACAAGAACACCAAAATTAAAAGTTAATTTATTTTTAAAAAAATATTTACCTTAGCATTAGAGACAGTGGAATTCACAACCACTGCACATGCCAGAACATTGTCAGAGAAGACAGCATAATGATAGAGTTTTGGATCATGAATCTTATTTTCATCTGGAAGCCTCCGGTCCTCAGTTCTCAAGGCAAAGTAATCAGCAGTTAGCTGCATAGAAAGACAGTGGAGACCTTTTGGAGTGGTCCTTGCAGCAAGATGAACGAGATATGTTGCTTGGTGTTGTTGAGAACGAACTTGCTCTTCAGCATTATGATTCATAGCACGGAGCTTAGTAGCCATGGCATTGCAGTCTGGGAAAGCACGGTTGGCTTTAGACAGTGTACCTTCCATGTGTCTCATTTTCTGCAAAGCACTGTGAACTTCACTTGTTTTCAGATTGGAAAATATTCATTTTCTTTTAAGAGTTCATATAAAATCAAAATTATGCATGAATGTTCTTATGACAATAATTTATGTTTTGCTCGATGAAAATTGTGTTTCTTAATGCAATACTCTCTGCTGAAACCTTGCACATTTAATTTGCACAATCAGATCAGTGGATTGTCGGAACCAAATATAAGCAAATAGAAAAGTAGAGGGATGAAATGAAAAAACGGATATCTTTCCAGGACCACAGCATTAGTTTTCTCTTCAAAGTTGGACATTGTATTTAGTAAATACTGGTAATGATAGCTGAACTAAATTCAAGTTGTAGAATTACAGAGAAAATTTTACCTCCTTGACAGATCTGAATCCTTGGTAGCTTCTCCAACTGCACGTTCCATCTCTCTAATTCTCAGCTTCAACTCTTTCACCAAGTGTGAGTTGCTGCTTGGTGGAGCAAAGCCCAAGTATGCTCTGGCTCTAATAATTTGATCCTTAATCTCCTCAACCTTACGATTTGTAACTCTCTGAGACTGACGGCGTGAAATCTGATGATGTTGGGTTGCTGTTAGACCAGATTGCTTATTTGTCCCTTCTATATTCTCATCTGTCATTCTCTGCGATTGAATATGCATATTCTGATTGTGGGTAACTGTTGTATTATATATTTTCTGCAAATAAAAACCAAATCCAAATATTAATATGACTGTAAAGATAATAAAAGAAAATCAAATTCTATGACGTTTAATCTTAGTCTTAAACGTGCTTATCATAGATATACAACAGGCTCTCACTAAATGCATGTTATTTGTGGACGATATGATTTTTATTGAGAAATTAAGGTTAACTCAAAACTTGAGCTTTGGATATTGATATTAGAATTTTCACTTGAACAAAAGAAAGATAGAGTATATATATTATAATTTTAATAAGAAACATAATAAAAATGATTTTGGCATAAAAATACGGTAGATTAACAATACCACAGGTTTTTAAGTGTAAATATTTAGGATTAATTTTACTAAATGATGAGAAATTAATGAATATATTCACAAAAAATACAAGTTAAATGGTTGAAATGGAACAAAACATTAGGAGTTATTTATAACTGAAAAGTTCCTACTAATCACAAAAGAAGATTCTATCAAAATGCTAATTATCATATATTAAGATGGGAACATGATGATATAAAAAAGGACAAGACAGAATGGTTGTATTTGAAGAGATATTGGTATGACAACTATTAAAGAGAAGATGATAAAATCATTTGAAGTGATTTGGACGTGTGAAAAAAGGCTACTGGAAACACCAATGAAGAGAAAAGATCACATGGATTTTAGCCTATGAAAAGGAGAAACAAGAAGATAAGAAGGACCTTGAAAAAATTATTAAAAGAAATTTTACAATGAATAACATTTTTGAAAATTTAATTTTTGACCAAATTTAATCATGTTATGTGATTCATCTAACTGACCTTACCTAGTGTACTAAAGCTGTTGTTTTGTATTCTTGTGCTCAAAACAAAATAGATATCTGTCACAAACACATCTTACTTGTATAACTAATTTCTTGATACATTCTAAATTACTCCAATAGCAGATCAACTCACATCTAGACATGGATGTTGGAGCCAAAAGCAACCAAAAAAACCACAGTAACAATCATATCAAAATCAATTACATGTTTGGTCCAACTTGTCTTTAAAGGATTTATGAGAAATAACCAATTATTATCATGAATAAAAGCTCATCCAAGCATACAGTAAACTGGCCAGAAAAACTCCAATCCTTTGCATAAATCATAAACATCAAAGTAGGTGTATAGTAAACCTTAAGAGTAACTAATTTTTCAAAGTCATTCAAACTTTCCCACCTAGCTAAGCATTAAGAATGGATGACGTTGACCTGCAGGGATGACTTGATATTTGGTAGTGTAAAAAAAAAACGAAACTATTCGAAGGTATTAAGTTTTAGTTGATTGTCCAACTACAAACTCAGATTGAAACCAATACTGCAGCTATGCTTTTTGATAACCGTAAAGCCAGATTATAGGTAAGCAACTGATAAGGCAATCTATACATTATAATATTATATAGTGAAATACATAAAAGAATACTTAATTAAACCTGTATTCTTATAAGTAGATTAGCAAAAAAGATAGATAATAAGTGCATTCTGTAAGGTCAAGCATATATCAAATTTATTAGTTGCTATCTGAAGATAAAACCAAATGCACGCATGCAATATATCAGATAAGTTTTTTTTTATACCTCAACCTGGTTCATTCAACTGTCATGAATGCACTCACATCAATTTTTTAAAATAAAAAAAATTCTTTCGTCCCAAATTTATAGTCATATCTTGGAATTTGGAAGATGAAACCTTTAAAAATGAAATGATCTTGATAGAAAAGAAGAATACTATAAATCTTAGTATCTTCTGAAGTTTGAGAACATTACAACTTCCTTCAGCGAGACAGAACAGATGAATCTTCAGATGGCAACCTTCTTTTTTTTTTTGAAAAAAAAAATATTTTCCTTTTGGAACAAAAAACAACAATCATGTAGCATTCAATGTTGTCAGCGATTCAAAAGTATTTGCACAAACCTCATCCCCATTTATGGATACTAGTCCTTTCTGCTGAGCTTCCTGTTCTTGTCTTTTGTCATGGTCGACTTCTGAAACTTGATAACAGTGAAATTTTCAGATATGAGTGGCATTATGTAAACCACAAAAATTCAGAAATGTAACTACAAATACCAACCTTTTCTTTCCAAAAGGTTATTTCTCAACTGCTCAATTTTAGATTCGTCAGAATCATTAATCTTTTCCGAAATGTAACTATTTGTCGAACCAAAATCTTTTTCTTTATAAACAACTTGCTTTGGCTCTTCTAATTCTTCAGCGCCTTCCTGAATTGCACAAAAAGGGCCCAAAATAGCAGGGAAAAGTTAATTCTCCAACTCACCAGAGAAAAACTTAAAACATGACGGCAAATATTAAATATTCCGCCACCTGTTCAATAGCATTTAGCCGTAAAGGATCTGTCATGTATGTCTGCAAGAAAAAAATAACAATCAACACCAATTCCATAGCAGAGAATCAGAAGCACTAGAATTCCAATTGGCAGCTTAAGAGGCATAAATAATAATAATAATAATAAATCCTACACTTAAAGTAATTAAATATGATATCAATTTATCCATGATTAAAGTTCTACATAGCACAAGATATTCCAGCAAGCTATCGTGGCCAGCTTTTCAACTTTCAACTCACCGATACCGCAACAGGATAAACCAAATTTTACTTTGGCAAAATACAAAAATCTTTACTATATTCCCTGTTAACTGATATTCTTTCCAAGCAACCAAACAGGTTGAGCTATAGATGAATTCAAACAAACAAATAAATAAATAAATAAAAACTGATCAGGCTTGAGAAGCAAGATTCTTACAACACTCGATAAATCATCAAGAAACTCTCTTCGTCCTGAAACCGAATTCAACAGAAACGCAAAACGTCAATTAAAACAGAGATAATAAACGGAAAGATAGCAGCTGAAAACGGAAACCGGCTTATGCAAATGGTTTCAGGTGATGGAATTGAGCTATTACCATCGGGAGTGAGAAATTGAAGCCTGTGAGAGACGAAAACGAGAGGAGCAAGGACGGAGAGAGAGAGCAGAGAGAGGATCAGAGTCCTCTGCCACCGATGAGATTGCTTCATGGATGTCGGTCACCGGTGAACGACGGAACCCCGATTCCTAAAGAAGCACATTTCAGGGATTCAGATCACAGAGAATTCAATGCGTGGAACGGAAGTAACGAACGAACACAGCCTAGGGTTTCAGTTATTCGCTTTTGCGCTTTTTAGAGAGAGAAAGAGTTGAAGGTTGAAGCAGCTTAATCCATGTTCGCCCCTTCCGTGTAACATTTTATTTTCTCATTTTCTCTATCTCTTTTTTATTAAAAAAAGGGTAATATTTAATTTATTTTTCCCTTGGCGTTATATAGTTTGGGGGTTGCCTCGATATTTGTGCCGCCAGGTTGACACGGGAGGAATCGGGAATAAATGGAAGCGGTACTGGAACATGCATAGTAGATGATGAGCGTGACAGATACGCGTTGATGTGATGCCATAACTCATGCTTATGCCTTTGATATCAACCACTTCCAATTTCGATCGCTGCTTCTTTTTATTATTTAGAAGTAATCATGGTCAATGTATGACAGTGGGAGCACAACTAGGAGAAATTGACGTTTATTAGATGGGGTTTATTAAAAAATGTGTTTTTATTATAATTATAAAAGTATGTAATATTTATTTAAAATCATTAAAATGTTCAATAATTTGAAGACGTTACATGTAATAGAATAATAATTTAATTTTTTTTAAAATTTATTTTTAAGATTAAGTTTAAACAATTCATAATAATAATTTTATTGTAATAAAAAATTATTAAATTGGAAAATAAAATATAGTCTTAAAAGTTAAAATTAATGAAATCATAACTTGAATCATGTTAAGAATAAATTAATAATTTACTAAAATAATTGTATAGAATGTAACATTATAAAATACTTTATAATCTTCGTAATATTTTGTGTCAAATCTTGATAAATTTTATAGAAATCAACCATAAGAAATTGTAAATACGAACTTAAATCCTTTGAAAACTATATGTATATAACTTTTCATTGAAAAAGTAAAATTGTATTTATAAAAAAAAATGATTGGTTACGCCCGGGTACCCTGAGTATTCTCAAATGTGGGTCAAGTTCATAAACCATAAATTTGTACATGTGATGCGCCAATCAAGGCAAAATGTGTCAAACCTAACCAAGAAAAAGGCTCTGCGACATCATGAGATATCCTTGCCTTGCTTCTCTCGGGTGTGAAACAAAAGGCAAACCTAAGTCGAATTTTTGGTTTTCTGAGCGAATGTTGGGATTCTAAACAATCATAATATTTTATGCTAGTAATTTTCTACTAATTAATTGTGGTCAAAATAAGGATGGAATTAAATAAAATACATTATCCTGTCAGCTTAAGCGTTTAGTTATAAATCTAATTATATATTTATTTTATTTATCTAATGTATAAAGCTCTTAGAATATAATTGTAAACATAATTTGATGAATAAAAATCAAAACTATTAATAAAATTATGTTTTAACTTAAATTTCATTTAATGCTAGTAACTTTTTTTATTCGTTTTCTATTTTAAATCTGTTTTCTTATACTTGTTCTCAAATTCAAAGAAAGTGTAAAAGGGAAAAAAAGACTAGAACGAAGCAAGCAGTGTGTGTAAGAGACTTTTGTAGGGGAGCATGCTTTTTTTGTGGCCTTGGGCAGGCTTCGTGCCGAAAGCAGTGGGGAAGTATGGTGATAATAGATTTCCCATTGCATTAATTTCTGTTGCAAAAATCCATTCCTCTGCCTGAACGAAGAGGGAAGTTTAGTACAACCATGATCCATCAACTTTTATGAACCAATTCATTACTGTGATATTTTATCATTTTCAGTACACAGTTGGTCGGTTATAGATTTATTTGGTTTCATAACCAATGGGATACTGCAACCTGGCTTCAGGATTGGCCTTGGACAAAACGCATTTAGTCTGATTGGTCATGCGATGCGCTGCGATTATTATCATAAATCATTCTCATGTCAAGTAGTATATGCTGTCATTCGCATATTAATAACGGTCCTACCGAAGAATACTTTATTTACACTTATTAAGTAATCAGTAAATAGCAAAATTTATTAGAAGTTATGTTCAAAATGTATGTTAAAGGAATTTACCAAAAGAAAAGTATATATATTAAAAGGAGTATAATATAAGTTTGAACATATTTTTGAATTTTTTAATTCCTGAATTTCAATTCAAGTTATTATTTATTAATTTCACATATAATTTTTTAATATTAATAGTATATAAAATCATAAGTTAATAATATCGTGTGTGGCTTTTCTTCTTGGTCATTCAACAATCCAGCTACTAATAACTCCGCCTGCTTTATATTTCACAAAAGTATAAGAAGAATACAGGAACGTGGATATATTTTTATCTTGAATAGAATGGTGGAGTCTAGCATACTTTTATATACTTTGTATACTTTAAATAATCATTCATTACTTTTTTGGTAATATGTTAAAAGATTGTTTCTCCAAAAACTCTTACTATTGATTTGATATAGAATAAAAAATTAAAAGGCTAAGATTTCACGGTTGAAAGCTAAATAAGCTAAATAATTTAAATGATGAAATGATCTGACTAAGTGGTTAATTTGTAATAAAGAGTGAAAGAGTAAATAGATTTAGTTTTGATTGCTTCACTGTACTAGAATCACCTTAGAGACCTTGTTGCCAAACATCATCACAAAAAATTCATTCATTTCTTGCAAAAAAAGTTTTTTGCTCATGTAACTCTTACCATCACAATGTTCTTCCTATTTCATCTATTTCCTTTTAACCTCTTTGTCATCTTGCCACCTTTATTTCTTACGGTCATGGCCATGAGCTCTTGTTACAACCATTGGGTTTTAGGTGACTCCTTCAATGACCATGAAACGACAGTCTCTTGACTTGCTCTGCTTCAACTCTAGCATCAAGTGTTGCATGATCATCTGAAGTGCCATTTGTAGAGCTTCGAATGTTGTTCTGTCATTTACAAATTCTCACGGTTTGAATTAAAATTTATAAGTATAGAGAGGGGGTAATTACAAAAAATGATTTATGCAGGAGCAAAATGGAAAGTGGTGATACTCGACGTCAATGGCAAGTAAAGAGTGAGCAGAATAGTGTCATGTGAGAGAGAATGGAAGATGTAGAGTAAGAGGAAAACATATATTAAATTACCAACATGTTTTTTAGTAAATTTAACCTGTATTGCTAGGTTTTTTCTGTTGCACTATTAACTATCTAATAAAAAGCTCTCTCAATCAATGGTCTACAATATACACAAGGCATGTCAAACATTTTAAAATATTTTGTTTGGATAGAATAACTGAATTTTTTTTTCATTTTAAATATTTTTATTTAGATAGAGTAATTAAATTACTTATATTAAAATAAAATAAAAATATCACTATATTTAACAAAATTAATTAAAATATTAAATTTAAATTATTTGATAATCTACAACTAAATAAAAGTATGAATTAAAGACACAATAAATAAAAATAATAATTATAAATTAAAGAATTAAAATTATTTTTTTATTTAAGTTTATTAAAAATTTTCACTGAAACTCTTAAATTTTTAAAAGTTAAATATCCAAATAATAAAATTTGACCTATAAAATTATAAATTCTATCAAAAAAGAATAAATTACTCACTTGAAATATCTCAACTAAACACTTTGTCTTAAAAAAAACTTGTGAAGCGCTTAAAATAGGCACCTTGATAGTAGTAATTTTAACAGTATTTTATAAATTACTACTAATCTAATATTTATTGATAGTTTGCTTAATGATTTATTTTTAAAAAAAGTAAATTTTTTTTAATTTCTGAACTATCAAATGAATCACAATGTCAATTTAAAAAGTATATATAATGTCTTTTCAAAAATTTATATGTATCATAATAGGCACTATTAATTAATAATTTGAACTTAGAAAAACTGTTGTAAAAAAAAAAGCATTTTAAGAAACTTTCTTTGCTTAGATATTACTTAAAAGAATTTAAAACAAAGGTATTTTTATTAAAAAAAAACATAAAAACTACTATTTTGTATGTATTATAGTACTTTTTAATATATTTTTAATAAGATTATTATTTATTACTTTTTAACCAATACTCTAAATATACTAATTAGTAACATAAAAAAAAACTGTACAACTATTAAGACTAAAAGTAAATTAAATTTTAACAGCACAACAATAAAAAGTAGTCATATTTTAATTTACATATCATATCAAGATGTCTACAATATTTAGATAATAACTATATTTTTTAAATTAATCATTAAAATATTTTTTTTCTAACGAGGTAGCATAAAAAATATGCTTATCGTCTATACATTTTTGTTAGTTATAAAAAATGGTTTTGTTAACGGCTGAGGTTTAAACATTAACAAATAAAAAAAATTTATAAAAAAAATACATAGTTATTGTATTGAAATTATAAAAATATAAAAAAATAAATAAAATTTTAATATTATTAGCTGGTTATCTTTAGCTCTAAAAGTTGAAGTTAACAAAATCTATAAAAAAATATAAAAATATTTTTATTTTAAATATGGTTAATATTACATAATTTTTGTGATACTTAATTCCTGTAAAGGCTGTAATGAATATGAAGTACATATTTTTTTAATTAGTCATTTATTAAAATATGATATTAAATATAATCATTGCATTTATGATGAAAAACACACATAGAGGCAATAATTTTAATACACTCATTGGCAGGAATTTTAACATGTCTTTATCCTAAAAGATTTAAGTAACACTTGTTAAATTACCTCCAGGTTTATATATAATCACTTTTATTTATATATTGCATAGAATTTTGAAATGTCCTTATTGTTTTGTGTTTATTAATGTAAAATAGTATGCATCCTTCAGAAATTTTGTATATGGCTTTTAATAGACAAATCCCTGTTAACAGATGCTCTCACCCTGTAGCAAAAGTAAGTTTAAAAGAATTCTTTATATTTGACAAACAGTAATTGAAAACAGGACATTAATAAATTTGTTCAAACATAGTAGGTAGAATTGTAGATAAAATATATAAGTGGTGGCAGTCCCAAATGAAGAAGAAAGTGGAAAGATGAATCAGATTTACAAGAAGGGAAAGTGGAGGATGCAGAAAGGTTTTGTACAACACAAGACATTCTGTACTTAACGCATTGTAGTGCTTAAAGGCTTCACCCCCCTTGGAAGAGTCTAAGGATTTAGACGAAAAAGAAAGAGCTTGAAAAAACAAGCAAAAAAATATATGTTTAAGGAAATAGTTTGTAATTCTTATAAACATTTTAATTCATTTTAGTATTTTATTTTATGTATTTAATTTTTTGACATTTAAAAACTTCTAAACAAAAGTTATTATCAAACAAACTTTCTTATTTCTTTCTTTTCTGTATTAAAATTAACTTTCAAATAAAAATTTTAAATATTTTAACAAAGTATCTTATTCTTTTAAATAAATAACTTCTATGTCATTAGATGGAGTTTTAAAGGATTTTTTTTCATTTTTAACTATAAAAATGTCATTTTTTTTTAAGTTTGTACATAAGTATTTAAAATAACTTTATATTTTAACCGATTTCTATAACAAAATTAAAAAATAACGTGATAATATAATAATTAACAATAAAAAAAATTAAAATCTCTCCCTTGATAATAGTGTTTTTAGATTTGGATTAGTGAATAGAGTTAAATGGCTCTGATCGGTCTAACTAGTTTATATATGAACGTATTATTAGAAAAATATATAAGAAAATATTACAAAATTCATCTCTCCTCTACCGTAAAAAAACGTTTCATTCCAAATGATAATATTACAAAAAAGATGCAATATATCTTAATTTCTGAAATGGATATTCAAACAAATTATTTTACCATTAAAATGAAATAAATTAATATAATTAACTTCCCTTCATTTTAAATTCTTTAAAATTCTAAAATGTTTTATCCAAACACAAGGTGATCAAATAAACCAATACAATTATTTCACTTATTTATTTAATTTTAGGGGTTCTGAAAAAAAATTGAATAATATGTGATTACATTTTCATTAAATATAGTAATATTATAAACTCTAAATATCATATTTTTATATGGGGAGTAACTAGTATTAAATCGGCAGCTATCATGGCAGCGAAATTTATTTTTTTTTCCACATTGATACTTTCTAGTTTTCTTTGGAAAATGTATGGTTGTAATTATGAATTTCGGAAAAGAAAAAAATAATGATTACGAAGTTTTATCATTTTTCTTTTGTAAGTGAAGAGAGTAAAAATTTTAAGAGAGAAACAAGAATATAATTTTTATTTGTGACAAAATTTGAATCCTAATATTTATATTCCATGTGCCTCTAATTATTAAACTATGACTATGAGGGAACGGCTATAAAGTTAAACAAAAGCAAGGCGTATCTATTTTGGGCCTACGTAACCTAAATGAGTGGTTGATTTCCAGAACGGATCTCAGAAGCGTTGATAATTGTCCACGGCATTGCTATAGCAATTTCACGGTTTTATGCTTCTAATAATTGTGGCTTTTCGAAAATCTCTTGAATTCCATAGTTTTCACCTTGATTTCCGATTTGAATGATGATCTTCAAAGTCCTTTTTTTCTCCTAAAAAAAAATTATTTTACTATATATCTATTGCAGTTAATCATATTAGATGAAAGGATTTACTTTCACGAAATAGATAAAAATGCAATTTACACATAAAATGAAAAAGTACAAGTCAAGAATATTCTCTAAATGTACTTAAAGTAAAGAATGTTGTAAGTGAAAAAGTAAGTGTAAAATGAGAAAGTACAATTTTATGTACCAATGATTTAAATTAAAATATTTTATGAATAAACTGACTTTAAATTAATGATGGACAAAATTGTATTTTATTTCTTACTTTATTCATCCCTTTATTTTAGAAGAACTAAATTTATATTTTTATTTAAAATTATAAAATTTAATATAATTGAATGCATTAATGGACTAAATGTTATACTTTCAATAAAAATTTATTATTAAATTACAAGTACTAATATATATATATATATATATATATATATGTTTTTGTTAAGTACTAATTAATTAGTGGAAGACTCAAGACTAGTAGCCTAATCCAAAGGAACAGAAAGGAAACTAAAAGCAGCTTCGTGATCTTACATATTTATTACGTGGAATTTAATCCACTAATTTTTTTGAAAAAACTACAGATATTATACACGTGAATGGAGGTACAGGAATCTAGTACAAGATTTACTTTCTCTAGAAGAGAAATGCACCATAAAAAATAAAACAAATTAATAATGGTGGGTATATTATATATGTATTCTAATTTATCAGAATTCTGAACCGTCGTTTTTATCATAGGTAACTGTTAACACAGTGAATAAGATATATAAATTACCCAACCAATAATTGGACTAGCCCTGTACAAATTTAAGAGAAAAAAGAAAGCGTGAAAGTGTGGAACTAACCAAGAATTACCTCCAGCATGGTGTTTTGTTCCTTCATCCTTCTAAAGTTGAAACCAACCATATTAAGCATATTATTGTGTCTCTTAATTTTTTAACTTTCATTCCACTGCCACTCACAACCCCACTACCTGTCACCAAATCAATTCATGCAAGTCATTGCTCTGTGATTCCTCCAAATGCCATCACTGTCTTCTCATCTTTTTCTCACCACCCCCCCCCCCTTTCAAAAGCTCACTCCAAATTCACTTGCCAATCACTGAATTTGAGGATTTCCCAATTCACAAGTTTCCTTTTTGAGACCCTTGCTTCCTTTGCTTCCCCAACTCCATCAAATGGCTCTTTCTGGGTCTGTCGTGGAGCTTCAAGCTTCTTCAATAAAGAAGAAAACTGCTGTTTCAAGAAGCTGGATTCTGCTGGACCATGATGGCAAAGGCACTGTACTTGATGTGGATAAGTATGCTATTATGCGATTGGTTAATATTCACGCAAGAGATCTTCGAATTCTGGACCCTCTCCTATCGTATCCTTCCACCATTCTCGGCAGAGAGAAAGCTATTGTTCTCAATTTAGAGGCAAATACTCTGTTTCTTTTCAACCATAACAAGTTTTGTTTTATTTTGCCCTTTAATTATATGGTTATTGATAAGAGAATCCGTTAAGGAATAGTAAAATTTGTTAAAAGCTCTGACATGAAATGCATCAATAATATTTTGAAGTTCAGAATATTTGTTAACATTTGCTTAATTTTATTTCAGCAACTTATTGGTGTATTTGGTTGCTTTTGATTTCTATTTTGCAGCACATTAAAGCTATTATAACTGCGGATGAGGTACGTTTGATATTTTGATAATTTGGTATGCGTGTCTCTTTTGTTCAATGTCTTTATTCTTTGAGTGCTTACAAGTAAAAACGATGCAGTGGAAATGGAATCACTTCTTATTTTTTCATGTGTTTAACATGTTTTAAATGAGCATAAATATATCTTTATTTCAACACTGTTAGTTATAATTTCTGCTTTAAATCTACATTTAACGTGCAGGTATTGCTAAGAGACCCAACGGATGATGACGTGGTGCCAATTGTTGAAGAACTTCGCCGACGGTTACCCAAAGCAAATGCTTGTGGGCAAGGAGAAGAAGAGGCGTGTGTTCAAGATGGTGAAGGTGGACAGGAAAATGGTGCGCTTTGTGAAAATATTTTACTTAATTATAATCAAACAGTGTTTGTTTATTGTTGTGTTGTTTGTTTTGCATTACAATAATGGGAAATTGACTTATGGCTGGTAGAATTTCCATTTGAGATCCGGGTCTTAGAAGTTATATTAGAGGCAATTTGTAGTTTCCTTGACGCACGAACAAGGGAGTTAGAGACCGCTGCTTATCCAGCTTTGGACGAATTGACCTCTAAGGTATTGCCTCTGCATCAGCATTGTGAATCTGTGTGTTTTTCTGTTTCACCTTAGTACAAGAAAATTAGTATAGATACACTCAAGTAAAATTTATAAAGAATAATTACATAATTTTTCGGATAAAGTTAGGCCTAGCTTAAATTCAAGAATTTAATTGGTTAAGAGGGCTTAAATTCTATTAAAAAGTTGCGATAGCATTTCATAGTCATTCCACAGAGAAAAGATGTTGTCTTTTATACTTTACAGTGTCAGAACTCAAACATGAGCAGTATTTAATTACTATTTATGACGAAGCAAGATGCATGGACGAGATATAACAGGCTTTAAGCTATGAATTACTGAGCCATGGAATTATGTGATTATCTGTGTGCATTTAAATGCTTTTTGTACTATTCCCTGCTCTGTCTAATTAATTAAGCAGGATAATTCTTTACAAGCTTAAAAATATCTTGACACCATTGTGTTGTCAGATCAAGATGTCAGCTTAAAAGCTAAGCTAAGGAACATTTTTGTGCATAATTTATAATATCATTTTTTTAATTACTCTCCTTTTAAGCCGGCAAAGTGGTTCTCGAGTGAGATATAGATCTATTAAAAAAGCAGAACAAATTCTTTTAAGCGGAAGGACTAGTTTCGTATACATTTAAATAAATATTTATAAGATTAAAAAAATAAAAAAATTAAATTCTTCTTTTAAGGTAAAACAAATTTACGTGCTTTAAATTTTGAAGAAGTTAAATAAAAAAAATTAAAAATAAATACATGTAAGGTAATTTGAACTTGTGCATCTAAAAATCTGTTACATAAACCTAAACTTTGTTATTTAATGTTTGATTTCCATGTTGTCACAAAATTATGATTCTTTCTCCTCTTTTTCCACTTCCACACCGCTCTGGTTGAATGACATGTGTCCAGATCAGTAGTCGTAATTTGGATAGGGTGCGAAAATTGAAAAGTGCAATGACGAGGCTGACAAGTCGAGTTCAAAAGGTATGTGAATTTTGGAACCCAATCTTATTCCCTTCCCTCTAATAAGTAAGTTTCCCTTTTACTTTTTTTTCTTACGTGTTCTTTATTATATAATTTTGCTCCCAAAGAAGAATGTGGACTCGCTATCTTCATCATTACTTACATAGATACATACTTGTGAGGTAGTTACTAGTGAATATTTTACCCTTTCCTTATCAAAACCTATATTTTCTATTTGCATTTGCTTTGCTTTCTTGTAGATTAGAGATGAACTAGAAAATCTACTTGATGATGACGATGACATGGTTGATCTTTACTTATCGAGAAAGTTGGCTGTTTCATCCTCACCCACAAGTAGCTCCGATGCTCCCAATTGGCTTTATAGCTCTCCAAATCCAAGTTCAAGAATACACAGATCTAGTAGAGCAAGTGGAACAATAGTTCAAAGAGACAATGATGTGGAGGAGCTTGAAATGTTACTTGAGGTTACAAAAGTCTTCATCTTTTAATTGTGCCACATTAGATACTGTTGGGTTAAATGAATTGATCTATGGTGTATTAAATTGAATATTGTGCTTTGCAGGCCTATTTCATGCAAATTGATGGCACATTAAATAAATTGGCCACAGTATGAACTGCATTTTCTTTTAATCTTTGCTACTTGATTTTTGTTTTACACTAAGTGATAAACTTTGCTATTTTGATACTTTGCCCCATTTCAGTTGCGAGAATATATTGATGACACAGAAGATTATATCAACATACAGGTAAATTTTATGCACAAAAGAATGAAAGATAGCACACTGCTAGTAGATTTTAAGTTTTTCCTATCACAGAAATCAGAATAGAGGGGGCACAAGTTCTCCGTTGTAAGTTTACAATTTCTGAAAAAAAACTGAAACCATTTATAGCATAATTGACAATTCTTTGTAATGTGTTGTGAATGAATGCAGCTTGACAATCATCGAAATCAACTGATTCAGGTAAAAGCTTTTCAAGGCCGTTGTTTTTTTCCTTATGAGGTTTTGTATGTCTACTCCTACAGACACTCTTTGAAACATTTGTTACCAAAGCCATAATTAATGTCTTCAAAATACTACTGTTATTGTCTATCATTCTATATACATGACAGCTAGAGCTCTTCATTAGTGCTGGGACTGTCTGTATGTCCATATATTCATTGGTGGCTGCAATATTTGGTATGAACATTCCATATACATGGAAAGAAGATCATGGATATATGTTTAAATGGGTATGTACGCATCACCTCCAAAAATATGAAAAAGGACTTTCAAATCCCAACCAACAATTATTTTGCCATATATATTAGACCAAAAGTTTAAATTGGTCCTAAAAATAGATAGTATTTTAATTTAGTCTCTAAAAGAAAATGAATATTAAACTTATTCTAATTTATTTTAGATTTAAATAATATTTTGGTCTCTATATTTAACTTGAATTTGTAAGTTAGTCCTTATATGTAAAAAATTTGTAAATCACTTCTCATACTACATTTATTTTTTATTTACTCCTTTTTGTTAAGTTTAAAGTAAACGATGTTAAATAAGTAAATGATTAAATTAGAAATAAATGTAGTATGAGAACTGACTTACAAATTTTTTATATATAGGGACTAACTTACAAATCTGAGTCAAAAATATTTTTGTAAATTTGCTATACACTTTTAGTTTGTATCTTGATTTTGATGATCTTGAAAGAGTGGATAAAAATGTAGATAAATGCGTTGCTAGCAATATTGATGAAGGTGCATTTGAGGACAGAGAAGTTTTTGATGAGGGATTGGGGTTTAGGGTAGGTGGGTGTGGATGTGAATGTGAATGTGGGTGTGAGCGAGGGTGAGGGTGAAAATGGTGAAGTAGTTGAGAAGAGAAGATAATTAAGTAAAAATCGTTAATGGTTGATTAAGTTTTAGAATGAGAAGATAAGAGAGAAAGAGACTCTGATCTTTATTGAAGTTTACGCAGAGGAAGAAGAAGAATGAAGATATAATTAGAGGTGAAAGCAAAAGAGAGGGTGTAGATGAATCGTAAAATTAAGATACAAACCAAAAGTGTATTGCAAATTTATAAAAATACTTTTGACTCAGATTTGTAAATTAGTTTTTATATTTAAAATTTTGTAAGTTAATTGCTATATATAAAAATTTGTAAATCATTCTTTATACTACATTTATTTTCAAATTAGTCTCTTTCTTAGTTACTTATTTAACGTTGTTTACTTTAAACTTAACGGTAGAGATTAAATTAAAAATAAATGCATATGTGAAGACTAATTTATAAATTTTTTTATATAAAAATTAACTTACAAATTCAAGTCAAATATAAAAGTTAAAACATTATTTAGTGATGTATTAAGTCAAGTGAAATGTAACATATTAACATGTTAATTATACTAATTAAAAATGTTATAATATAATATGACTAAAAAAATATTTTATTCAAATTAGTTGATTATATTTAAAAAAATACACTTTATATTTTGTTCAATGTAAACTTACAATGATAGACAATAATAGTCATATTACCATCTAAATTTTAATAGAAAACTAAAATGAATGATAAATTATTTCTTTAGAGGCTAATTTTTGTATTTTAAGAGACTAAATTAAAAGTATCGTTATTTTTCGAATCAATTTGAGATTTTAATTAGTGTGTGTGAGAGAGAATATAACTTTTTCTGATTTTTTCTTTTCCGGTTCATCAATCTTATAATTTTAGGTGGTGATCTTTACGGGAATGGTTTGTGCATCCTTGTTTTTATCCATAGTATCTTACGCAAGACGCAAAGGCCTTGTTGGGTCTTGAAAAGCATAAAGTTGCGTGTTGGGAGACATCAGGTTAAGTCTAGTACAGGAGGGCAATTTCGAGACATTGCACCAAAAGAATACTATATTTGTTGAATCATGTTATGCGCCCAATAGCTTCTTCTATCTTGTAACATAATTAGCTGCGCATTTCGGATAGAATGATTGTTAGCTGGCAAGTTGAATGCATTGAATATTTTTTTCAAAAATTTAATTTGTTGTTAAATCCATTTTTAGATATATTGAATTCAAGTGGCATCGATTTTCTGCAAGAATTGCTTGACTCTGAAGTCAAATTTAACCATTTTTACCTCCATTTTAGTCTACCATTATTCTTCAGTGCGCTAATCAATTATGCGCATGCGACTATCAAATTCCATAATCATATGATTATTGTTTCACGACAATTTCTGAATTTCAGGCTGTTTCGACCAGTTTTAATCCGATGATTATGTATGGGTTAGTTTTGTCTAAAATTATATTAAAAATATAGTAAATTAATAATCTTAACATTGATGTTAATATTTTTAATTATATAATCATTGTTAAAAAGAGAGATGAGAGAACAGAGACAGATGTAATTATTCATTGCATTCTCCGAAGTCTTCATGCTATATTAGCAATCAATGAAACATGAAGGTGGTAGAGTGGGGATGTGAACTCTGAACTTTAGAAATTTACTAATGTTAACTTAAAAGTGGTTTGTCGGTGCTAACTGCTACTAATATACAAATCCATTGTTTCAAATTCCCAGATCTTTCTCTTTAACCCTCGAAGTGCATGGTTTTTTTTGAAAAGGCATGAGTGTGAATTACTCAATTGCGCATGGTATCTTCTGAATTCATGGGCAAGGGCTTCTCAAGTCTGAACTCGACACACACTCAGACATACAGTAAATAAGGAAAAAAAGAGGAATGGTGAGGGACCCTTTTGCAGTTACAATAAGCAAAACATGAAGATCACATGTTCCTTTGATGCTTCCATTTTTCAACAAAGCCAATTGAAGAAGCTTTTTGACTTTGATAACTGACACACCTAAACTTTTTTTTATAAATTATTATTATTATTATTTGCTGGATTAGGAAGAGGAGGATATATGTACCCCTAACCAAACTTCAACGCGTAGCAAATGACATCAGGATACAAATTTAGCATTTCTGTGTCAAAATGTTACCACTCACAAAATTAAATTCAGTGCTGTAAATTAGAAGTTTGGGCCTTGAAGATAAAGCACAAGGTTATCAGTGTTTTTTTCCTTCCAAAAATGCAATACATTAATATTTAATACAAAAATAATTAATTGTTTATAAAAATAGTTAATTTATAATCAGCAATGAACTTTTCATATAGAGAGACATTCTTTTTATACAAATAGTTAATATATTTATTATTATAATTTACATAATTAAATAAACAAATGTGCCACCAGCGTTAATTTATAATCACCATATGATTTACTTGTATCCATGGGTGGCTCAAGGGTAAGATCACTAAAGCCTTTTGTTTTTGCAAAAAGAAAAAAGGGTTAATTATTAATATTTTTTACTGATTAAAAATTACTAATTAATCTATAGATTAAGGCTACTCTTGAAGTAGGATTATTTTTGTCGTTATCCAATTCAAACTTTAATCAATCAAAATTTCGTCTGAATCTGGCTCAATCAAGGATCAATAATACTGGACCAGCTCAATTTGTTGTTATAATATATTAATAATCTTAATATAATATATAATTAAGTTATAAAAAATTTAAAATTTAAAACTAAAACTAAAATATATTTTATGACATATATATTTTTTAAACAATAATAATATAACATGTTATTTAAAAATTATTTATTAAATAAAAAATCTTACTATTAATATATAATTATAAAAAAAAATACAAGACACCAAGATAAACTAAAATGATTTGAAGTATAAGTTAAACCATTCTAAAAAGTATATTTGGTCTAATTTTTAAAATTTTAAACTATCAAAATTACCTGTAAGTTAAATTAGGTTTAATTATTCATGGAAAAATAAAATTAATATAATAAAAATTATAAAATGAAATTATGGTGAATAAAAATGTTAATATTAAAGTTTTAACATATAAAAAATTTAGTAACTTTAAAATCATGACGTAAGTATTGAAATTTATTAGTTCAAAATATTTTTATGAATAAAAATAATTTCCAAATAATAATATTTTAAATGTAGATATTTGAATTTTAAAAAATTCCCAATAATTTACATAAATTAAAAATTAAATTGTAAAATTATAATATACTATTATATTGATCAATTTTACTATACATTAACATTTTATATTTTTAAAAATATATTTTTGAAATAATTTATTTTATAAATAATAATAGAAAATTATTAAAATTTTAACATGTGTTTTTTAAGTATTAAATTTATAATAACCTTCTTTATTTGATAATAAATTTATTAATAAGTTTGTTAAATATGAAAACTATACATTCAATAAATAACTAAAAAACTATCTATATATATATATATATTAATAAAAATTTAATAAATATATTACATTAAATGAATATAGTGTTTAGTTATATTATTTAAGTTCGTTATATATTATAATTAATAAATATATTATTCAATACTATGTTAATGCCATAACATGGTTGATTTTATTTATAGAGTATAGCTGATATTAAGAGTTTTTTTTTTCTTCTAAAAATGGGTCGCTTATTTTACTATAACTACTTTTTCAATTAATAATTACTTTTATAATTTCAGCAGTTAATTTTTAAACTCTTATTCATTAAATTTGAAATACAAATCTTTCATTGTTTAATTTTTAAATGTTAGAAGAGACCAATGTTACCAAATCATGAATTATCATAAACATTAGTGTATTAAATTTAACACATTAGAGCTCCCTTTAAATTTAAATATACATTGAATGGTTCTTGCTTATTATTATGCATGTGTTAAACTATTAACTAACGTAGCAAGTACATTTGTAGAGTCGCACAAGAATTGTACTTCATAAATTCAAAAACCATAATCAGAATTTAAACTTAAGTCTTCATTTCTTAACTGTTTGACTATGTTGACGTGAGTATATTTGAGTGTTATACAACTTGTTATGAATTTATCCATTGATAAAGCAACAACCACATAAGTTTCAACTAATTCAACAGGCATAACTTTTGCAATTGATTGAAACATGTAAATAAAGAAACTTCATTTTTAAAATCTTTAAGAAATTTGTCAATGAAATAAAAAGAAAAAAAGTGAAAAGATCTTCTTTTACTTATTTGAATGAATTAAAAAAGAACAAAAATTTACACTTTTTATAATAACAGTAAAATAACAACCCAATAAAAATAATTACAATTTAAATATAATATTTTATTTACTTCTGTTTTTTTATATTAGTTGCTAAATTATTATCAGTTAAAAAAACTACAGTTTTCCATTGCAAAAATCTCATCCTGTGTGGAGAATAAAATGTGGACTTCACATTTTTTTTGTCAGTATAAAACAAAACTTCTAAACACATAATATTTTTTTAAAATTTTTCTTTGCCCAAGTTAAACATAACTTTTCAATACTTTTTTTTTCTGTTTAATATATAACTTTAATGAATTCTAACATTTTTTATTATTTAGTGAAATTTATGCTCATTCTAAGAATAAAACCAGCAAAACATTTTAAACTTATTAAAGAAAACCTTTAAAAAACAAATTAAATGGTTTGAAATCAAAACAGCTTCAAATTACCCCTACTCCATCATAGTTTTTATTTAAAATTTTAAATTGATATATAAATAAATTAAGAAATTGGTAAATAATATTTCAAAGCTTGCATGTGAGTTAAGGTCTTCACATTCCTTCCTTGGCACTTCCGGTATTAACCTAAACTTTCAGACCCTATCTACTATCATGGACCCTCCCGCATGACACGCCGCCCCCACGGTGCATATCTTAACAACGGCGCATGTTATCCACAGCTGCTAACTTCTCTAGCTGTCTTTTTTTTTTTTTTTTTCGGTCTAGCTGTCGTTAGTTGAAGTGTGTAACATATGTCCTTAAAATATTTCGTTTGAAACTGTACATGTTTTTTTAAAAAACAAAAAATAAAAATTAAAAAAAATTCACCAAAAAACAAAAAGAAAATCATATGCGAGAGAGAATAAATTTATCAAGGTGAAAAAAAAAATAACACACGAGAGAAAAAGAGAAAACACTCGGTTTTGGTTCATGCTCTTTTCGACGAAGAGGTCCTCTCGATTCAGATCATCCACAACACAAGGCAACGAAAAACAACACAAACTCTCTCTACCAAATCCATAGTAACCCACGTCAAATCTTCACGAATCACACCGACCCATTTCCTATTCACATCCCAAATCGTAAAGCACCATTTTTTATCCATCTTCACCGATCGCTCTAGCTACCCACAGGTCCATTCTTATCTTACGCGTGTTTCTTCTTCTTATCCTCTTCGTTTGTTATTCTCGTTCCCTTGTGCCAGAACCACAACATATCTGTGTTGGGCAGGTTAATGCAGGTGATGATTGTGAGGAAATGGACGTAAATTTTGGTGGTGCACGCGTAGCATGCAGGGGGTGAAGGTAGATACGTGGTGAAAGAACTAGAAGTGAGGGTTAGCGATGTCGAATCAGGTGGTGAGAGTGAGAAGGGACACGATTGCAGCATGCATGACTTGCCCACTCTGCAACAAGTTGTTCAGAGAAGCTACCACCATATCCGAATGTCTTCACACGTGTGAGCCCTTGAATCCCTCCTTCAAAACCCCGTTTTTGTATTCGCTCAATCTAATGTGAAATTTCTTAAATTTGAAATCTTTTCTCGCATTTTGCATTCCTTCTCGTCCCAGTTTTCATGTGGGGTTTCGGGTTTTCATCTTTTCTTTCACTGTTCACTCAGATGGGGGAGCATCTGGTGTTTGCGTAACCAGAGAGAGACATGGGTATTTTGTAATTTCATGTGTCTAAAAGTATTTTCTTTTTTTTTTTTTTTTTTGTTCTCTCTCTCTTTCTCTCTCTATGAACACATTGAGGACACTAATGGTGGTTAGAAGAGTTGTGGTTTGGATTGGCCAAGTATTCAGCAGTTGTGGTGTGCTGTTCCATTAATGTCAAAGGTGAAAAGGTGTTTGAACTTTTGACTACAACTACAACTGTTCATTTAGTAAAATGGCTTCCAACCATACACCATGATTCAATCCTGGTGTTACCGCATGCAGCACAAACTGTCGTGGGCATTGTGCGCACTGTGCTCTTTCTTACATTCTGGCCCCTCAAATAATACTTCATCTTTATATAGTTATTTGCTGTTCTAATTATCTATCTTTGCATGCACTCTTTTTTAGCATCTACTTACCTTCACTAGTAGAAGCTCTAAGAAAAGCCTGTTGTGTGCCCCCCTTACTAATAGTTTTTTTCTTTATGTATGTTTATCTGCAGTTTGCAGGAAGTGCATTTATGATAAAATTACAGATGAGGAATTAGAATCCTGTCCAATATGCAACATTGATTTGGGTTGTGTTCCGCTCGAGAAATTGAGGTCAGCCCCATATTCCGAAGTTACCCTTGTAGGCTTATACTTCTTCATTTGAATATGCATGGGAGCTGTTAAATACTGTCGATCTTTGAACACTTGTTGAATCACCCCATGGCTGAAAAATAAAAGAAACAAATAGTTGTCATAGATTATGTTGTTACCAGATCTTCTTCTAAGCTTGTATGCCAGTGCAACAGCGTGCAAGAGTGAAGATGGTTCATGCTTCGATAATATGCCTTCAGTTTGATAGTTTAGTTGATGATTTATATAGCGTAATGCTGGTAGTTTATTTTGTGTAGTTTTCTTGACAAACATTTCATATGCCTGATAATATATAGTGTCATAAATATGAAATGTTCAAGACATGTCGAATAAAAGATTCAAGTAACTGAAATTCTAACAATTATGTTTTTCTGTCATCTATTGCATTTACTAAATTTCATTTGAACTTTTAGTAGGAAACAGAGTAAGGAGGAATTGAGTAAAAATGGTCCCAGTACAATTAATTGATGAAATTACTGAGATAATTGACACCAATGGGATAAGGGTTAGGATCTATTTTAGTTGAGAATGTTTAAATTTAATTTATTAATTTCCTTTAACTTCAAAAGGAAATCATATGATTCTATTCAAGTGATGATATTATTTTTTGCAGATTGCCCAAAATTGATGTATTATTATATTAACAAGGGATTTTGATCATAAAAACACACCAAAAAAGTGTAGTTCTTTAAAAATAGATAGTGCTGAACTTGGATCAAAGAATAGGGGTTAAGTTCATGGCATTGATGAGTTTTATAGATTGGGGAAAAAGAGAGTATTCTGAACTATCTGAAAAGAAGTAGATCAGAAAGACTGATAAAAGAGAAGAAAGTTTTCCTTTAATGAACTACCTACACCACCACTCCATGCATCTGCCTTTGGCAATGAAACACACAAAAATTTTATAAAAATACAATCAAACAAAACCATGCTGCTGATGATATTGATATCTCTGTTGAATTGTTGCCTGCTAAGTTACTTGCTAAGTTACTGACCTTGGTTTCTGATTCCCAGGCCAGACCACAGTTTGCAAGATGTAAGGGCCAAAGTTTTCCCTCTAAAGGGAAGAAAGGTGAAGGCACCTGAAGTTGTCACCTCAGTACCATTGCCAGCTAGAAGAAAGGAGAGATCTCTTTCATCTTTGGTAGTCAGCACTCCAAGGGTATCTTCACAGGCAACCATGACAGGAAGAAGAACAAAACCTACAAGAAAGGCTAGTGGTCTGCGGACCACTACTTTTTCCATTGAAAAGCCCATTAAAAAAGAGGAAGAATTGCTGGAAGATCATCCTGAGAGTTCGAGCTCACCTGATACTTCAAATAAGTTTGCTCAGAATTCTGGACAGGTAGTAGGAGAGACAATCTGGCTCTTCACTTTAAGCATGTTATACATTGTTCAGTCTCCTTGTTTCATTTATTGTTATCTTGTTCATTTGATTTCCCACAGTATATTAGCATTATTTCACTGATATTCTTACACTTCAATTTTTGCTTGGTGCAGAGTTTGTCCCCTCATGAGGGTAGTCAATCTGCACCCAATAAAGGATCAGAGAATGGTGCTGAACCAGGGGATGCAAAACTGGATCTTTGGAAACCATTGAATTGTTTAGTAGAGGTTGCAAGTAGGAGTAAATCTTTTAAGTCTAATGTGCAAGGTTCTGATGCCAAACTGGAAACCATTCAAGTCAATGAGAGTGACTCTCAAGTGCAGAAACCCAAAATTAAGGAAAATAAACGCAAGGCAAAAATTGAGGATGAAAAGATTGGCCCTTATCCTGTCTCTTCAGATACAGCAAAACCCAATAAATTGCGCAGAATACGCAAAAAAAAGGAGCCTGCTTTTGGAGAATCTGGCATATCACCCCAAGCTGTGCTCGATTCTACCAGCAATAGAATCTTAAGGACTAGTCCGATTTGGTTCTCCTTGGTAGCTTCTGAAAACCAGTGAGATATCAAATCTTTCAAACTAAATTAATCACATCTTATAATTTTGTGCAGATTATATATGTTCAATACATCCTTTTTTGGGATATTTCTTTGAGTACTAATTTCAGACTAATTTTTCAGGGAAGGAGATGCACCCTTGCCCCAAATTCCAGCAAGTTATGTGAGAATAAAGTAAGTCCTTTGAACTATGTATGTGTATTGACACTGTTTAGTACTTTTAGTTTTGATTTATTGCAAGCTTTTAAAAGAGGAACATCATGATTTGAACAGTGTATAACTCATGTTACTGACTAGTATATAGGTGCATCTCTGTACAAATTCTGTACAAATATTCATGAATATTTATCTCACTTATCCCATCATGTAGTAAATTTCAAGCAACATATTAAATGACAGAAAAAGGAGTCAATCCCTTTGACCTTTCATTAATTGTGCTTCAGCATAGTGACAATGTCAATGAATTTTATCAGGGAGAATATCTTTTTAATGTCTTATTAAATTATATAACAATCAGCAAATGCTAAAAATGCAAAACGTACTCTTTCTTTTAAAACATGAGCTACAAACACAATGCAAAAAATACTCTTTTTCTTCCCTCCAGTGCAATCTAGATTCTAGACTGTTCCTTATCACTGTGGTGGGTAACATAATAACATGATTAATGTTTGTTACCAATTTTGTATTTGTCAGAAGTTGTGCAGATCAGTGAAATACGTACTATTTTAGCATAATTTGGGAAGAATGAAAATGAAAAAATGAAGTTCAATAGGCACCTATCTCAGCAAAGGAAAAGGACCATGAGAGATAAATCATTGGCTGGGTGGAATTTGGACAGTGTTATGCTTTCATGAAATCCAGTCATATTTATATGCTTTTCTTCCCCCATCAATAAATATAGCAGAGCATATGATTTCTCTCAAGATTAATTTCCTTTTTTCTAATGTATTGATTTTGAGAAACTTCTTTTCTGCTTTTCTTACCCAGGGAATTGGAAGAACTGTGTATTTGTTTTTGTATTTTATTTATCTACACTTCAGATTTCCAATAAACTCTGCCAAGTACGAACCCTTTTTTTGCTTAGCAGCAAGTACAAACCTTGTATTATATTTTTTTGAAAGGAAAAGATAACAGTCCTCTTTTCCACTTTTTAGAATAAAGTATTCTTGTATTCAACTTGTCATATTTCATTTACCCAGAACAAGAAATTTGCAATTTTTGAATTATATATCAACTCTGATGGTTGTGATTGAGAGAGCATTTGAAGTGTAAAGTAAAGTTCTGTCTTTTAATAAGGATATATGTGAATGAGATATATTGATTGTATAATGCATTTTTACCATGTCTACTTTAAATGGTTTCACTCCAACTTTGCTACCGCCAAAGCTTCTTAAAATGTAGAGATCTAACTGAACTAGAAAATGGTACCCTGTCTAATCTGTCTGCTGTTTTCCACAGGGATGGTAGCGTGCCTGTCTCATTTATCCAAAAATACCTAATGAAGAAACTAGATTTGACCAGTGAAACAGAGGTAACACTCCCTTTGTAATATATCTAACAAATCATTAACTGGGCCTAGAAAATTTCATTACCTTGTTATTTTTTAAAAGCATAATTTTTGTTAAACCTAATTTATTTCCGTACAGGCCCAAGTTAATGTTGTCTGCTGTATCAAAACATTCACAATTGGATTGTCCTGAAAGCATTCTGCTTGTCATGCTTGCATTATTCAAAGATAAAAAGCAAGCCCCTTTTATGGCAACTTCAACTGCACCACACTTCTACATAGTACATGTGTGTTTGGATTCACGTTAAAACTTTGTAAACATGGATCTAACAGAAAAGTTTCAAATAGAAATGTCAAAGTAAACATGGATTCATAACTATTGAAATGTGAATCCAAACAAGCACAGATCTTGAAGTTGAATAACCTCACCCTTTTCATGATTTTTTTTTTTCTGTGTAGACGAGGGATGGTATCATTTTTTTCTCTCTCTCTGGGTTCTACTGCCAGTTTACACATTTCCTCACTCTTAATTGATTTTTCAGGTTGAGATTAAATGTATGGGACAACCAGTGCTCCCTACACTGCGGTTACATAATTTGGTTGAGTTGTGGCTGGAAACGGCATCCACATCACAGCGAATCCCAGCAACTATTGGGTCCTCAGCAAAGGATTTTGTGATGGTCCTGGCTTATGCTCGCAAGGTTCCACACCCTTGATCATGGTTCCCCATTCATGCTTTTAATGCACCTTGAAAATCTTCATCATAGCATAGTCACTCACCCATCTCCATGTTGTGCTTAACATGCGTTCTTGTGTCACCAAGCTGCCCAAAGCAACATAATCTTGGAGCATAAGATAGGCCAAATAAATTATAAAGAAATTTCATCTCCATAAATCATACCCTTCTGTCATTAGTGTAGAGAATCCTGATCTGGTAGTCATTGTAATGTTCATTACACCCTGATTTTTCAAGACCATTTTTCTCTTTCTTTTTTTAAAATTTGCTTATTCCAATAATTTGGAGTGCACATGTGACTTAGTTATAAGAAGCTTAAGGCCACCTTGCCTGTTTAGAAGAGATAATTTGTTGAGAATTTGACATTTTAATGAAGAGGATTTTTTTTTTCTATTCTATTTGTTCATCTTCCAATATGAATATTACTTGTGCAGGCCAACAAATGCAAACACTGAGCCGAAGTTCCGCATCTCCTTTCATTCTAAAGAAGCTTTGCTCATTAATAAGATAGATCTTTAATGTTCTCGTTGGAGCAGAAAATCATACAATCAGTCTCATTGAGGGTCTTTATTTTTTCTATAAGTATTTTTTAGAATTCATAATAAATAAGTTTTTATAATTGGTCAACATAAGTAAGTTTTTAAAAAATGGAAAATTTTTCTAAACAAATTATTGAACAATTAAGATTCCTGCTCTTCCACGGGTACGAATCATTTAAACGATTTTGTATCTGTCTCAGCCGAATAAGTAGTCGAAAAATAGTTATCACACCCAACGGGATTTTATTGGCATATCTAAAGATTTTTGCTGTGAGTCACTGTCAGTAGAGGGAAGCCTTTACAATTACTTTTAACGTTTCCTGTTTTTAAAATTTTATTACAGAAAATAATAGTTTTTGTTTTTACAGTGAAAATAGTTGTTTTTACACTTTCTTATATGATTCTTTTTCATTAAAAAAAGGATAAAATAAGGTGGTATGTTTGATCGTAATAAAAGAATATTTTGGAATTCTTGGTGAGGAATTTGTGATCACACACCGTACCAGTCCTTTTTAAGTAGAGTGGTATTGTACCCAAGAAGTGTATCCATACTTTTCATCTATTAGGCCCATTTAAAATTTTGAATAGAGCATATGGTCTAGACCTGATAATTAGATCTAGAACAAAAGTCATGACCCAAAAATAAACAATATATAGACCGAAAGTTATTGTAGTTATGAAGCCATAATGGTTCCAGAAATTTAAAGCTATGGGACAAAATATACATATAAAATTTATAACTTCGAAAATATCACAAATTATTAAGAGTGTTAATTAATATACATCACAAGTTGCAGAAGAAAAAAATATTTGGTGAGCTAAAAGATGAAGCTCCGACAAGAAAACAGTGGAGAAAAAGTGAAGGGAATGGAAAAGTACTGCTAAAAAGAGGTTTTTTTTTTTTTTTAATGTTTTCTCATTACAAATAGAGGCAAAATGATGAAGAAAATGAGAAAGAGAGCGATAAAGCTTTTTAGAGAAGTTAGCTTGAAATAGTGGAAACAAAAAGGATTTTAATTATCTCATATAGTTAACTAACATAATATATGGTCATATTAGGGGGGGGGGGGGGGGGAAGAGAAATACATGCTTTTTGTAAACAAGGACTCACCATAACTGGTTGAAGTTATATCTAATAGAATGTGTCATTTTCTTATTAACATGATTGTATCATATTACTCAGCAATATAAAAGAATCTAAATTTTATAAAAAGTGATACATCAAATGTAATAATGAATTTCTTTTAGATAAGTTAAAAATAACTCATAAAATTTAAATTATATTTTATAAATTGTTAATAACTTTTTTCAAACAAGTCTTCATTCTTATATTTTCACGAGACTTGTATTTTAACTTCAAAGGTTTTTCGTTTTTTTTTTTAATTTAAAACTCTTAGACTTTCTAAAAAATATGATATAGCAAAAAATTAATGTGAGAACTTTTTAATTGATCACATCATTGATTCAAAAGTGTTAAATTTAAACAAAAGTAAAGACTAAAAATATTTTTAAATATTAAAATCAACATATTATAAAAATACAAGGAACGAAATATTGAAGTTAAGGTAATATTTACAAATATTGGGTGCGGTTGTTATGTATATTATAAATACAATTGAGCAATCTCTCGTCGTTGTGAAATAAGAGTTCTAACAATAAATAGAGCTTAAAATAATGACTTCTATACGTTTAAAATAAGACTCATTTTCATTATATATGTTCTTCGTATACAAATAATAAATATTTTTTTATTATATTTTATAATTTTTATCTCTTACGAAATTTAAAAATTACTATATAATGCACACAAAACTTATTTGTTCAAATAAATATGAGTAAATATCACCTTGATCCTAAAATACACAATTCCGATCGTTAAAAAAAAGTTAGTCACCCAATCTTAGAAGTATGGACACTTTAGTCATTATATCCATTTGAGTTAACATTTTCAAGGACTAATTTGGTCACTAATAATTTTGTAAAGAACTAAGTTAGTGCATGATTCACTTTTTGAAAGACTAATCACATGCTAGAAATGTAGGAAAAAAAAAATTAAAATGAATTTATTTATTCCTTTAGAAAATAAATTGAACTGAGTCTTTTCTTTTTAGAGACTGAATTAGGTGTATACACAATCAATCTCCAGGCCTTTCATTGGGCATTTTGGCTAACAAGACACCCCTGTAAGTGGTAGCACTAAAATGGTCAAAATCTTAGGATCTAAATTACTTGCATGATATGAATAAATAGATAAACAAATAGATTGATAACAAAATAAAGAAATCTATTTGTTTAATTGTTAGGACCTTTCAATTCAAGACTTGATTCACAAGGGAACTGAAAAGACTAAGCATCTCCGGAGAATAATACATGCTAGTCTTAATCAACAAGTCGCATCTCAGAACAAGAAGAAGCTGGACCGTCCTAAAAATAACTCGCTTTCCCCCAATGCATACTCCAAATATTGTGGGGTTCTTAATTGGACCTTGTTTGGAGGAACCCAAACAAAAGTATTGAAAACAAGTTTAAGAGTAAAACCTTTTCAGTAGTTGAAAAATGCATCTATTACTAATTCAGTTTCTTAGAAATTAACTTTATTAGTTTAATTCCACAAAATATGATCAACTATAAATATTCAAACCTTCCTACCATCTTATTATAGTACCCATGAAAATTAGTACCCTGACCTTATTCAAAACTTAACTTTGAGAGGCTCAATTGACAAAATAAACTCAAAAAGGGTCACAAAAAAGAACTGGGGATTGCAAAGTGAAACGCACACGGCCTTTAACAATTAGAACTAAAAAGCTACCTACATTCCCACTTCATAAAAATAAAATAAAAACTTACCGTGGATGAATGACCTATTATTTTACAAACCAAGAACATATCAAAAACCAAACAACATACAAACTGCAATTGTAATCCAATCCAAATTGAACCCTTCAATTAATAAAAAAATTTACAAACCAAAACCCCAATAAGAATGCATGAACATTTCCCCTGTACCCAATTGCTCAAAAACCAGTATAAATATTTGCATAAAACAAAATGTGACCTAAACTAAGGTATACCCTGAGCGTTTTGTAGGGCTGCCCCCAACAACCGAAAGCAACCCTCCATCATAACCCTCATGCTCATCCATATACAAATCCTCAGTGCTTCTAAACGCAGCGTGCAACACAACAAGCGCAACCCCAACCACCACTGACACCAACACGTGCACCCATACGCCGGTGATCCCCAAGGCCACTACCGTCACCGCCGCAAGTGCCGCCGCCACCGCCCTGTCGTCCACCGCGCGCCCTAACACCACCACCGGTTCGTCTCTGAAGAAGTAAAGGAAGAACCATGCCACGAGGGTCACCAAAAACACGATGATGGATACGGGGTGCCATAGAAGGCTAAGGAACAAGATGAAGAGGACGATCATGGCGTAGTTCACGCGGAAGTGGTCGAGGTTGCGCCTCACGCGCATCGTGGCTTCGCCGGTTGAGTAGGGGCGCGTGAACGAGTAGAGCGCGAAGACCTCTTCCCATGGGCGGCGCGTGGCGAACGCGGAGCGCGTGGAGGTTGCGTTAGCGCGTGATACGAAGTATGTGGCGGTGGAGTGGGAGGAGGAGGGTGAGGGGAGAGAGCTGTAATGGGGTACCGAAGAAGAAGGTGACGACATCGTTTCAGAGATTGAAACCCCAAGCGAAGTTTCCCTTTAAGGTTGAAACTTTTAGCTGAAAGAGATCGAAATTGATGAAGCCATGGATCATGTAATCGGATCCTACTTCCCTGTTTAGAAGTTGCTGTTATGATGAAGAAGGGAAAGGGGTGTGTGACTGCGTTGTGGGATCGACGATGTCCTTTATGTGTTGTGTGAGAAGGAAAAGGAAGAGGTTCCGCTGTCGTTTACTTTATGATCAGCAATGCCAGCGAGTCCATGAAATCCCGTAGTGTTGTTGGGTCCCACTGCGTGCCACCATGACAACTAATCATAGGTGTCTATGCATAATTGTGATTTAATTTTTTAATTAATTCAAAATTATGAATTGGTCAAAACTCAAAATAAGAAAATGAACATTTCTTTGGTATTTCATTTTCGGGCTTTGACTACATGTGAGTTCACATCGTGACAATGAATTCCCAACAAAAAAAATACAACGCAGTTTTTGAAGATCATATGTTGTTTGGAGTAGTCAGAAATTATTTCATTTCACGTATCACAGTTTAGTCTCACAAGTGACATGTGACTTGGAAATGATGAATAGTAGCAGTAGGCCATAAAACACTGCATCTATGCCACTTACTCATAAGTGAGGAAACTCTTATTAGTAACCTGAAAAAACTTTGGCCACGTGCATTCGTTTAATTAGGGGTAAAATGCATAATTTTACTGTTCAATTTTGCTACCATTTTGTAATATGCCATTATACTACCATATTAAATAAATAGAATTTTTTTGTACTTGTAACTCGAGTATTTCAGTATTTAATACATTTAAATTTATATAGATTAGTTTTATAACTTGGTTATTGTTTCTTTTTATTAAAATCATTTTTCGTCAGTTGATCTCTTATTTGATAATATTTTAAAATAGAGTTTAAGTATATAAATATAAAAAAAATTAAAAAAAATTATATTCATTATATTAAAATATATAAATTTTTTAATACAATTTAATTATTATTAATTGTTTAAATATTTTTAAATAAATAATATATTTTTTGATATTTTTTAACTTTTAAAGTTAAATTTAAATATAAAAAAAATTTATTGAAAATAAAATATTTATTGTCAAATGTAGTGAATACTTTTCTTTTAATGAAATTTTTCTACTTTTGAATGTTGGTAATATACTTATTATTTTTAGTAAAACTTTTTTTTTTTAGAAATATAGTTTGTAATGCTAATTGTTATTATTGTTTTTCTCAGTTAAACATTCCATTTTTTTCACTGTTTAAAAGTTTCACAATTGTTTTTTTCTTATCTGTACGTTGTTATAAATATTTTATTTAGTCAACTATCTTGATTAGTTTAGCAACATTGTTTTTTATGTTGATTTTTTTGTATAATCTGTTCACCATCTAATTATAGCTTGCATATTTCATGATCTTAGTTGATAGTTAGCTTCAGCCATAACAATTCTAGGAGGCATATTCTCAGATTTTAAATCTCTCATAAACAAATATCTCAATAATTTTTAAGTAAAAGAATGTAACGACTACATACATTAACGAGTTATCAATTTGCGCTTGATTGTCGATGATGATTTGTTTGCCATTTAGAATCATAATTACATCCTCTTAGTTAAACACAGTTGAAGCTAAATAGGACAAGCATCTTCATCCGTTTTTTTAGTCAACTGATCTATGGTTAGACCCCTTTTTGTCCCAGTCTCTAGTTTTCAAGAGATTCGTGTAACAATATTACACAACTCTTATAGTTATAAATTGTTGATAAAATTGCTATGATTAAATGTATTATGGCAATTACATAGTATGAATTGTGCCAACAATTTATACTATTCCTACAACTTATGGTATTAAACTACATAGTATGAATTCGTGTAAGCAATAAACTTGTTATTTTTTAGAAAAATAGTTTGTAATGTTAATTGTTCCTATATATTCTCACTTTAAACACCACAATTTTTAACATATTAAAAGTTTCACAAATGTTATTTTTAATTTGCAAGTTATTATAATTATTTTGTTTTCTCAGCTTGTCAAGCTATCGTATCGACCTCATTTTATGTTTATTTCTGTTTGTAAATTTTTTACATGATTATAATTCATACATTTAAATTTTTTAATTTTTATTCAATTTAATCATAATTTAATTTGGATTACACACTTAGATGTGATGAGTGAATTTATTAATGTAAATTTTTTACATGCACAAGGAGTCAAATCTAAACTCTTGCTTAAAAGATACCGAACCACTTATTATTTAGTTACATTCTTTTATATTTAGTAATATAGAATCTGCCCTGTTCATAATAATTTTAAAAGGGACAATATCATGCATTAAATTTGTGAAAAAGTATAATCTTTTAATTATTTTCAGGCAAAACGATGCAAAGACCAGATACATTACTCAACATTATTTGTTAAATTTACGACAAAAAAATAACCTTTTACTGATTTTTAGGCAGGAAAATGTAAGGACCAGATGCATTAATCACACAAACAAGTTCTTAATATGTGCGCATCATTCTTTTTCTATAATTTTTCCCTTTTTCTCTCTTAAATGACGAGTTATAACAATCAAATTTTCAATTAATTATTAATATATTGTAATAAAATATATGCAAATATACAACTAATTATGAAAGTATTAAATGCTTACCGTCAAATTTTCAATCTATGGATTATATATGTGCCCCTAACTTTTGAAGTTTCAAATCCATATGCTCCTCCACCTCTAAAAACACTATACACCTCTTATACCTTTTGGCCTATCTGTTTCAGTTTTTTTTAATTATTATTATTATAAAAAAACGTGCACTTTTTGAAGTCTCTAGTTTACTGTTTGTTTATGTTTATTTATTTTTAAAATCTAAAATGGTTAAAATTTTATTATTTTGAGTAACTTACAAAAAAAAATTATAATCATAACTACTTTTTAAAATGAAGAGTTATTTTTAAAATTGTAACTAAATAAAAAAATTAATTTATAATTTTTTTAAAAAAATATTATATATTTTTATTTTAAAAATAATTATATCACATAATTTTAATATTTATTTTAAAAAATATTTTACTTTATTAAATATTTTTTACTTTATATCATATAATTTCTCCGTTCACTTTCATAGTCTGTGTCCTTTTATTTCTTTTTGGTTGCCGAGAGAATAATTCAAAAGCAAAATTAATACATTAGATTGCATTTTTGCATTCTATGTTCTATCTATTCTAAATTGTCTGTTGGATTGAATCTGAAATATATACAAACAGAAATGTTACAAATACAATTTTTAATAATTATTTTTTATTTTTAAAAGTTGGAATGTCCATCTCATAAATGGATTATTTTAGAATTATTTTAACTTTAAAAAAATAATAATGTATTAAAAATTGTTCAAACTAATGTGTATATCATAAAGTAAGATATAGTGATGATAAATTAGTAGTCAAGGTCGTCGATAGTCGAGAGGTTCTAATTTTCTTTTAGATTCTAATTATATATAACTTGTACTTTTAAATACTGAATTGTCATTAATATATTAAAATTTTGTTTGATTTTATTAGCTAAAATAAGAGATCAAAATTTAGAAAAAAAAATTGAAGGAATGATTGATTGAAGGATTCTTGGAGATAATAGACTCTAACTAACTTGCTAAATTTTTCTGAGTTTGCTGGCTAAAATAAGATATCAAAGTCTGGGTATCAAGTTCTAATTTTAAATATCCATTTTTTTAGTGTTCATTAAAATGGACTGTGAAGGTTCCTCCAATGATTTATTATCACAACCATTTTAAAATTTTGTATAATTTTATTAGATAAAATGGAAAAACAAACTGTGTCATTTTTTACGACGCTTTTTTCTTCATTTTACTTCAAACATGAGATATCCTTATTTTGGTATGATTGATTAAAAATCCGTTCACCTTTTTATTGCCATTAGTGTGCGGTTTTCACTCTAAAACTTTGCTGCATTACATAAAAAAATAAACTGGCTAAAATGAACTAGCCACGTTGATTTTGAAAAGAAAATGAGAAATTAACAATTCTAAAAGAATCAATGAAAATATTTTATTATAAAAATTAAAAATTAAATTCAAATAAAAAACATTTAGAGTTCAAAATTATATGACCTGCTTCCCCGCACCCTAGTTCCATTTCCTTCCAACTAAACATCTTGAAACTTCTTTTTTTCTTCTGAGAGGTGAGTCCCATTGTCTTGTATACCCGCAATAGTTAGTGAGGTGAAAGTATGTGTTCAATTATTGAACTAAGGAAATCGAACCAAACGAATCATATAATGTTGCTTCCCTGTGGCAAGTGATAGATTTTAAGAGCCAACATAGGTGAAACATAGAACTGTTGTGTGATAGAGAATGCACATGATTGCTCTATCAGTGTGAATATTCCAAATTTTAAATGATCTCTGTGATGTTATGGAGTAGAGACCTGTAATGGACTTGGCACTTATTTTACAAATCCAAGTGAGTTTAGGATACTCATCAATGTGTGTGTTGGCCAATAGTTTTTCCTTCCCCTTGTTGCTTCAGTGTTGCTCTTAGTACTAAAATTTTTGTATTGAGCTAGGATGAGTTGTTTCAAAGTTTGGCTTTGATATTATATAAATTTGTAGTTTTGTACGCGTCTTCATTGTTAATAGTTCTCTGCGTATATTCCTTTTCTTTTTTCGTTGTCAGTGAATGACCCCTTCGGCTTAAGAGAATAAACTTGTTTTTTTTGGCAGTTCTAGTTGAATATATTGGCATTACAGCGGAGGAGTCATAGACATGTGTATTTGTCATGCATGTTTTACAACAGAAAAATTATTACTGGGAAGTCCTTAAGTGAAATTGTCGAAGATAGGTTAATTTATATCCCATGTTATGCCTAATAATAAGGATGATATATATTATCTTAGGAATCTCCACTAGAGAAAGAACTTATTCAGTGGCACTAATGTACTACATACTATAGTATTTTTATTCCTTTTGGTTTAGGGAAGGGATTGATGGATGACAATTTCTCCATTATTTGTATGGTGCTGGCATGTTACTTTTTGTTAAGATGCCAGAGGAAATCATCTTTACCAAATTGAGATTCCTAAAATATGGTCATTAGAAGGTACACATCCCAAAACCTGCTTTTTGCTAGAGAAGGAAATATTATTAAGCAAAATGTGTGACGATCTTGAACAAAAACATAACCTCTATTGCTTCTTCTTGCAGATTATTAGAA